AAGTAGTATGTGAATTTGTGTGCCGGGAGGCGTGGGGGGCGGTGGGCGCCATTTTTAACGTTTTAATTATTGTATCTTTCGAATATTGAAAAAGGATTTCAAATTTTTTTTTATTAAGGGATGAAAAAAAAAAAAAAGAAAACATCAGAAAAATTACAAGAATAAAAATTTATTTATTTATTTATAAAAATTTTTGACTAGTAAAGATTTGGTAAAGGAAAAAAGGTTTTTATTATTTTTATACAAGGATTTGAAAAAATTTTTCGGAAAGTGAAAAAGGAAAAAGGTTAGAGAAGGTTGAGGGAGGGAGAAAAAAAATTGATTTTTCGATTTAATGATGCAAAGCGTAGTGACCTCCGTAACCGTAACCGTGACCGTATCCGCTACCGTATCCGAGATGTCCAGCCAATGGAGCAGAATAAGCAACACCGGCGAGGAGACCACCGGCGTGACCGGCAGAAAAACCGTGTCCAAGACCAGAAATGGCACCGTGTCCGAAAGCTGGAGTGGAATAAGTTGAAACGTAAGCCGTCGGTGCGGTGTAAGAAACGACAGGAGCAGAAGAATATGAAATAGCCGGTGCAGCAGCAGCAGAATATCCGTGTCCGAATGATGGTGAGGCTACAATTGCGTGGCTATATGCCGGAGCAGCAGCAGCAGCATATCCTAAACCGTATGAACCACCATAAGAACCACCGTGAGAATATAAACCGTGGGATGGTCCGGCAATGAATCCGGCATTGGCAGCAGCAAAAAGAGCAAACAACAAACTCATCTATACAGGTGAAAATAATAAATTTTTACTCAAAATCGAAACTCCCCTTCCCCCCAAAAATAAATTTTCATCTTACCTTATAGGCGGCCATTTTTAAAATTTGTTTTTTGTTTTTCCAACTTGTTACAATTCAAGAAAATAACAAACGAATGATTTTTATTCACGTTTCATTCTCATTTTATACTCTTTGCTCACTGGACAATAACTCGACACAAGTTCAATTACGACATTATTACACAAAAGAACAAAAAAAAATTACCAAGTATTAATAATAATAATAATAATAATAATAATAATAATAATAATAAACCGTTATTGTCGTTATTATTATTATTATCAAATCACTTTTTTTTCAAAAGACCAATAATTAAATTTAAATTAGCGATGAGAGTGAGTAGGTACGATGGCGTACCTTAATGGTTCAATCTATGTTATAAAAAGGGTAATAAAACGATGGTCGAACACGTACCACCGCCACCACCACCCCCCGCCCCCCGAAAAGAACAACAGGACTTATATTTTACCTTGTAACATTTTATTGTTGTCGATATGGAATGAGTAGAAAAAGGTTAATGATGTTAAAAGGGAAAAGGAAAGAAAAACCTTCAGGTTTTTTGTTGTTGTTGTTGGAAATCGTGTATTCATATCGAACCTGACTAAAAAGCAGACGAAAATTTATTTATTTATTTATTTAACGTATTGTATGGATTGTAATTATTTGAATGGAAAAAATTAATAACATGTATCCCGATTTGTTTACCATTTCGAATGGATGTCAAGGTTTGTCTGGAAGGCACGCACACACACAAACAAACAGGATACCTATGAGGTATCTTCTCGGTTGGGGGGGGGAGAAGGGAGGGAAAGAAAAAGGTTTTGCCGGTATCTGGTCGTTTACAGGTGGAATTTTAGCAGAAGAAAAAAAATTTAAAATTTATAAATGATTTTATTGACTCTTACACGCATCTTCGTTACTTTAAAATTTATTAATAATAATAATAATAATAATTATTATTATTATTATCATTATTATTATTATTATTATTAATATTTCGTCTAGTAGTCAATCATCAATGATTCGAAAGGATATGACTAATAACTATCGAATTATATAAAACAATTAAATATTTTAATTTTGCGGTTTTGAAAAAAAAAAATAAATTAATCCGCCATTTTTTTTTTTTTTAAGATTTTAAAAATTTTAAATGAAGTTTTTTAGTTATGTTTATTTTATTGGCATCTATAGTCTTTAAGAGGAAAATCGGATATTACGAAATAGTCCAAAATTTAATATAATAAAAGAAAACCTTGATAAATTTAATTGATAAACGCGAAAAAAAAAAAAAAAAAAATTTTTTTTTTTTTTTGATCGGTGTTTTTATAGCGCATAAGAATTGTTTTTATAAAAAAAATATATATAATTACGCTATATAGTGCTATAAAATTTACTATATATATAGAAAATTAATTAATTTTCACGCGAAAACAAAACGAGAGAGAAAGAGAAATTTTTTTTTGTTCCTTTGCGCGTATGATATACGAAAATAAAAATAAAAAAATTTTTAAATTTCGTGAGAATCCCTCCAAATATTTCTGCTGACACGTTTCGACATTTTAATATTATATGCGGTTGGTACCCGTGAGGAAAATTTCGTCTCAAGTTTAGTTAAAGTTGCCATTTTTTTTCTTTTCTCTCCGTTAACAATAAATGATTAAAAACAAATTAAAAACTCTTCGCAACTACTAAACAAACAAACAAACGAACAAACAAACAAACAATCAAACAAACATATATAATTTAAATTTCGCAAAAAGGAAAATTAGAAAAAAAAAAAAGAAAAATTTAGGCAAAGTCTTAATTAATCGCATTTAAATAATTATTTAAAATTGTTTTGATTACGTCATCAAAATGGCTACTCACTACTGTAGTCAAATTAAAATCTTTTTCCCTCCTTTTTTTTTCGTAAAAAAATTATTTGTAAATTAAAAATCGTACGCAATAATTTTTTTTTTTTTTAACACCTATTAAAAAATGATTGATACCATAATTATTATTATCATTATTATTATTATTATTATTATTATTATTTCTGATTGACGGTTGTAATAATCTTCGGTAAAAAAAAAGTTTTTAAATGTTTTTCTTTTCCAACGTTGAGTGAAAGGCAAAAAAAAAACCGCCATTAAAAATATCGAACGTGAAAAAATTTATTTTATTTATTTATTTTATTTATTTATTTTATTATTATTATTAATTTGTCACGTGATTACAATAAAACATTTTGTTAATAACGTTATCGGTGAAAAATGATAAGGGATAATAATGTAATTTTTAATTTTTATTAAATTTTTCGATTCGAAGACTTAAAAAAAAAAATTACTCGATGTGTTTTTGTGGTAATGTTGGCTCCCCTGTACTTTTTTTTTTTTTTAAATGTTGTCGTCTTTTGTGTTGTAGCAAAATGTATCGTAGTCGAACCAACTTTCGTTTGTTTTTTTTTTATTGTTTGGTCATTTGTCTCAAAAAAAAATTTTTTTTTTGTTTTTGATTGACAACGAATTAAAACCTAAAAAATATAAAATGGCGAAAATGACTTGGGAAAATATTTATCCTACGTCACAAAAAAATTTTTTCGTTATCATTCGTTGTTGTTATCACACCGTTTTTTTTTTTACAATACGATTAAAACATGTATCGGATTTTTTTACACTAACGTAGTAACGATATTTTATCATCATCATTTTAACAACACCTTTCATCATCATCATCATCGCCATCGCGACACAATATACAAATTTTTTTTTTATTACGTAATACCAGGTAACGTTTTTTTCTGCTTTTTTTTGTTATAGTTATGGCAACATTGTTTCGAAGAAAGGGAAAAAAAAAATTTGTTTTTTTAAATTTGATAATTTTTTTTTTTTTTTTTAAATCGTATTCAAAAATAATTTTTCAAATGCAAATATTTATTATTATTATTATTATTATTAATTGCGTAAAAAATCGATTTAATTTTTTTTATTTATTAAGTTGGTCAAACTGATTTGTAAAGCTATCCCAATATGGCGTGCAAACAAAATGAAATCGTACAGTGACGTTTAACGGTGAAAACGAATTTTATTTAAATTTTTTTTTTTTTTTACACGTTGGAACATTAATAATAATAATAATGATTTGTTTTTTTTTTTTTTTTTAATGGAAAGTTCTGGAAATTTAAAGTCTGGAGAATAAGGCCCCCGCCGTCCTCCCCCCGCCCCCGGCATTGATTTATCGATTGGGAAAAAAGAGAGGAAAGTAGAAAATTATTTCTTACGATAAAAAAAAAGAAAAAAAATTTTTTCGGTTATTAATTATAAAATTTTATAGCTCGCTATAAAGTAAAAATTAAATTTTTTTTCTTTATCTAAAACCACGACAAACGAAAATATTTTTATTTTTATGCTGTAGCAAAGTCTTTCCTCGTAAATTGTTATAGTATCGTTAAAATCTTTTTTTATCGCTAAACTATAATTTTATAGTGTTTTATAGTTGAATAACGTTTAATAATGTTGCCAACATGACAAATAAGTAAATAACACGCGTGTGTGTTAATTACACGATTATTATTAAACTATAATGTAGTAAATTAATTGCACAAGGGAAAAAATCGCAAGCGCTATAAAAATTCATTTACTATATATATTTATAGTTACTGAGTAATGAAATGTGTCACGGTAATTATGTACATAATTTATTAATTTTATAGCCGGAAGCTATGAAAATAATAAGTAATTTATTTGAATTTCAATAGCTATAAAAGAAAAAACGGTTTTCTGATGCCACGATCTGCAGCAAATTTTTGCCGCCGTCGGGCAAACATTGCGATCGTTTTTCCCGATTATCTCTTTGATGACGTCATTCATTGTTTTTCACTGCGTGTTTATAGTACACGTTTAGGGGGTTATGGGTATTTATGCTGCAGCACAAGTGTGAAGAGTTTCAGGTACGAGGTTTATCAACAAATAAAAAGGCACGTTGTATAAAAAAATATATTATTATTTAAATAAAAGGCATCATTCGTTACAATAAATTATTTAAAAAAAGAAGAAGAAGAAGGAACTTAAGAAATAAAATAGTGGAAATTTTATGAAATGAAAATTTTTGAAAATTTTGATTGAAAGATAAAAATTGAAGATCTTGAGCAAGTCGATGTTTTGGAAATGATTGATTGACTGACTATTCAGTTTACCAGTTGTATTGGATACCGTATCCGTTGGAATAAGCCATGTGGGCAACGGCTGGAGCGGCAGAGTAAGCAACTCCGATTTTGGCAACGGCAGCCGGAGCAGCGTAGGCAACTGGAGCAGCAGCAACCTTAGCGATTGGAGCGGCATAGGCAGCTGGAGCAGCGTAGGTGAATGGAGCGGCAGCGACCTTGGTGATTGGAGCAGCATAGGCAGCTGGAGCAGCGTAGGTGATTGGAGCGGTTGCAACTTTAGCAATGGGTGCGGCGTAAGCAGCAGCTGGAGCATGAGCGTAAGCAATTGGAGCATGAGTGTAGGCAAGAGCGTCGTTGCTTACTCTGACATCGTGTTTGGTCACGCTAGAGAATGGAGTGTTTATGGATTTTGAATAAGTCGAAACTTGTCCCAAATTTCCTGGCGTTCTGAGAACGTTAGCGTGTTGGCTTACGAGAGCCGGAGATACGGTATGGGTGGTGTAGGCATGTGGAGCAGCGTAAGCAACGGAAGCCACAGGAGCGGCGTAAGTTGCATGAGCGGCAATCGGAGCACTCAAATATCCGGCGTTGGCGATGGCCAATACGGCGGCGAGAACGGCAAACTAAATTTAAAAAAATAAGAAAATCATGAAAAATAACCTACCGTGCGAACAGCAATAGTCCAAAATTTTATCCGCCATTTTTAAAATCCTTTCTGAACAAAATCAAAAAAAAACATTTCGATACTTACTCTGAAAGTCATTTTTGATAACGAGTTATTGTGTATCGAATCTTGTTTAAGATCTGTACTGACATCACATTTGTTCATCCCCAACTTATATACAAAAAATTCTTTCCGAGAGGTGTCATTATTTATGTAAATGAAACATTTTGTTCAGGTAAGCTGAACATAAAAAAAAAAATTTTTTTCATTTACTTCCCCCTCCCCCTCCCTCCCCCCGTCATAAGTTAATCATTATTTGACTCCATTTAATTTGACGTTTAAATGATTTGATATATTATAATTGCCCCTGAAAACATATTGAGTTCAATATCAGACCTCCCTAAAAAACGGAGGGGCAGGTACTCTCACTCACTCTCTCTCTCTCTCTCTCTCTCTCTCTCTCTCTCTTTCTTTCTATTCTAAACGAATCCGATACACTTTTACTAAAAAAAAAAAAGGAAAATTTTTTAATTGCGTTCTAAGAAACTAATAGAAATTTAAATAAAGCGTTTAACAAAAATCATTTATTTATAATTTTTAGTATTATTATTATTATTATTATTACTATTTCACGGTATTAATTATGTTTTTTTTTTTCGGTTATGTTGGGCGTGTGTTTGTATATACTCTGTTTGTACGCGCGTGTTTGTTTTATTCATGCACACTCATTTATTTTTCTTTCATAATGCAACAACGGTCCTTAGGTACTAAACGATTTAATAACGCGAAAGTATAACGATCGATTTTTTATTTATTTTTTAATCGAATCGATTCTTTTTTTAAAAATATTTTGAAAAAACGCGGCGTAACAATCCGGCGTACAGAAAAAAAAAATGGGGGGGGGTGAAAAATTTTTTGGAAAAAAATTTAGTCGAACGGGGTAAAGGAAGACACAAAAAAAAAGGAAAAATAATCGGGAGTGTTTTCAAAATCGCCGCGTAATTTTATAAAAACGCATGCGTACGTCGCGCGTTATCATTAAATAAATGATAATAAAAAATTTTACCCTTTGAAACTATTTAAAATTACGATGATAACGACGGTAACGACGACGACATTTTGCGACGTCACGACGTTCGATTTTTTTTTTTATTATTAAATTTCAAACGTTCGGGGCAACGATGACGTCATTAACTTAAAACATTTAATAATAATAATAATAATGACAAACGAATAATGATAATAATAATAATAAAACGTCATACAAGCTTTTGTTAATTTTAGTTTTTTTTTTTGTTCGTGTTCGCTTTTCGTTTTTTTTTTTTTTTTTTTTTTCTCCAGTCGTCATCGACATCGAAAATCTCAATTACATAACGTTAAATATTTATTATTATTATTATCATTATTATTATTATTATTATTATTATTATTTATCGAAATCTCAATTGTTTTGTATATCTCATTGTTATACTTTTATGCAAAAAAAAAAATTGCGATCAGTACGAACACAATTAAAATTTTTGAAAGTAACAAATGAGAAAGCCTTAAAATAAATAATAATAATAATAATAATAAAACTTTTGACTAGGACGAAATGTTACTAATAATTTATTTATTGTTACATAAAAAAAAAATATTATTTATCAAACGTCAGAAAATTCTACGTCACATCCGTGAAAGGATTTTTGCTGTTGATGCCACTGCAGAAGGAGAGAAAATTAAAAAATTTTTCTTTTTTTTTTCGTTTTCCGATTCGCTAATGATGATTTGTGTGTGTGTGAGAGAGAGAGATAGAGTGTGTGTGTACATCGTCTTTTTTATGAACTTCTCTCTCTCTTTCTCTCTCACTCTTTTTCCTCTCTCTTTTGAACTTTAAAAAAATTTTTTTTTTTTTCTTATTTAAATTTAATACATATAAATTTTACCTACGCAACACGATGGATCGATAAATCGATCTATCGATTTCTACATAAAAAGATTTTAATTGTTTTTTTGGCCCCGTATTGTCAGTTTAGTAGGACTGTCCTTGTTGAGTAAAAATGAGAGATCGACATTGTCTTTTTATTATTATTATTATTATTATTATTATTAATAATTAATAATAATTTTCCATTATTTTATTATTATTATCATTATCAAGCGATTGTTTCGTTCGTGCCACGTTCGTAAATTACCACCGCCACCACAATCACAACCATCTGCCCACATTTGTTTTTTAAAAAAATATTTGCGTCTTAATATTCTTATCGATTTTTTTTTTTTTTTGGTAACATATGAATTTTATCTTTGATCGTGTAAGCAGACAATTTACTATTTTACCCGAAGAATAAAATATTAAAAATTTTGGTCGTTGAAAAAATTTTAAAAATCAATCCGTCGTCATAATTATTAATTAAATTTAAATAAATTTTTTTTTTCGGTTGAAAATTTTTCTGAATAAAAACGTGGCACGAGAATTATATTTAAAATACTTTCTTTAAGCTTACAAAAACGAATGTGAAAGTTTTTAATTTTATTTTGCATTAAAATAATAATAATAATAATAATACTTGATTAATTACGGACGAAAGTAAAAGGGATGATGAATATTTAAAATTCAATGAGTAATTAATAGTTCAAAAGGTCACGTTTAAAAAAAACATACGTCGTTTTGTCGTACGAATTTCGTCGTGGTTTTTGACAAAAAAAAAACCGTTTTTAAATCCTTGAATTATGCTAAAAAAAAAAAAAAAATATGGCTATGCTTATGCATATTTATTAATAATATATTTATGCGCACGGCCCTAACCCTGAACGTATTTTTTATTTTTTTTTAACGAATCGTTATCAAAACTCTTTATCACTTCATTATTATTATTATTTGTATTATTATTATTATTATTATTTTGCAGCAAAAATAATAAAAAAAATGGCGAAAATTTTATTTTTTTTACGAACTTGTACGAATCGTCCGACATATTTAATCGTCTCGTGGCTCACACAACGTAAAACATCAATCGATTTAAATCAACGATGACGTCATCATTTTTCTTTTTAAATCAGAAATCGAATTAACATTTGCTATTGTTAATATTTTGCAGTAAAAAGAAAAACGGAAACGGAAACGGAAATGGGTTTTAAAGAAACGTCTCGGAGATTTTTTCTACCGTGAATTAGAATAAGTTTTCGAGCACCCAAAACGATTTGTAATGTTTTACGACTAAATAATAATAATAATAATAATAATAATAATAATAATAATAACAATAATAATTATAATAATGATAATAATAACTATAATTATAATAATAATAATAATAATAATTGACCTGGGAAAAAAAAAAGAAAAAACAAAAAGAAAATTTGTTTATGTTGAGGGCGTTCGTCAATATGAAATCGTTTAATGAGGCGGTTATGACATAATAAATGAACGACGTCATTTTTTTTTTTTATTGTTAATATTAATTGTTTAATTTTTAAACAAATGGCAAAGTCGTAATTTTTTTTATTTATTACGGGGGTAGTAAAAACATTACCTAAAGGTATCGAATTAATTTTAAATTGTTTATCACAGTAATTAAATTACTGGTAAATTATTATTACCAACCCTTCCTTCCCCATTTACCAACCCCGCGTAACATTTAAATATTAATAATAATGATGGGTTTAAATACGAATTAATTCCAGACTGTGCGTGTGAGAAAGAGAGAGAGAGAGAGAGAGAGAGATTTTTTTAATAATAAAACTGGAATTTATTGTTGAATTGTATTTTATACTGGAGAGCCGTAAGGGGTTCGCGTTTTCCAGGAAATTTTATTAATTGATAATAATTTTCGGATTTTAAAAGCTTAAAAATTATTTGACCTATTTAAAATGTAAATCCTTATAATTTTTTCCAAAAAAAAAAATAAAATAAAATTTTATTAACGGCCATGAATTTCACGATCGGTCAAGGGAAATTTTTTTTTTTTACTTCACGATTCACGGTGAACACCTGAACGTGGACACGCCCGTACGCACTGTCGAGAAGATGTTGAAATTAAGATTTAAAAAAATGATCGAACGAATCCGCCATCTTTGTTAAAACTCTTACAATTTTTTTTTTAATTTTTTTTTCCAGAGGTTTTTTTGGGGGTGAAAATGTTTGTTGTGTACATAAATAATTTTTTTTAATAATGTCGACGATCAAGGTCGGTTAATAGCTTATTCCATGAAAATTTCCAGAAATGTAGGTCTTTAAATTCATATAATTCATTTTTAATTATTTAATTGTGTCGGTGGCACACGTGCCGCCATCGCGATGGTTTTTATTTTAACGTATTTATCTCCCGTTCCAGACGATTTAGTTTTTCCAGAACGTATAATAAATTTTTAATATTACACGACGTTCCAAATTTTCCAGCATTGCTTAAAAAAAAGAAAAATTAATTAAAAACCTTCGGGGTTAAATATATATATAATATTTTTATCCCCGAAAAGTTCGTTTCCCTTATATTTACGTCATCAAGTTATCAATAAAAAAAAAAAATTATTAATTTATTATTATTATTATTATTGATGTGTTTAATCCCCGAAGGGAAAATTTTATTAAAAAATAAATAAATAAATAATTTTATAAAATTTTTTAATATTTATTAATCATTATTTAATTAATCACGTTTTTACGTTCGTTTTCCAGGTTTCAACCCTTTCTTCAGGTTTTGGTCCATGCAGCATCTTTCACAAAGTCAGGAAAAAATCGGTAAGTGTAAGATAAGATAGAAGAAAATTTTTCTAGAATAAAAACGTAATGGGATTTTTTTGTAATCCAGATAATACTTTAACGGCTCTTATCACTCGTAAAAAAATGTTCTGGAAAATTCAAGCGATACTACTCCATGATCGAGTGTGATAAAGGAAAAACATTTTTTTTGTTATCATTTACTGGAACTACCTGTTATCAATTGAAATCGGTGAAAGTGAAAAATATCAGGTAAATATTATTAAACAAAAGGACGTATCAAGGTTACATCCGGTTCTGAACGCCCGTTCACATTCATCCATCCGTTCGTTTTTTATTTTTTACGCCTCGGAAAATTTAAATTTTCTTATCACAAATTCGGACGAAACCACAATGATAATAATAATTAAATCGTGGAAGGGATTTCAAATTTAAATCCCCGTTTTTCGCAAATGAAAATTCTAAT